CGCCCAGCCTTAGACACAAATGCTTATAAAATACGGAATAACACGTCTACATTAAAAATAATTTACACAAGCACTGATGACCGGTCTCAAACATTAGAATTATTTACTGACAGAAATAATAGAAAATCGGACAACATCACTGGAAATACGATACAAAAAAGTAAAAAAGTGGGCGTACTTGCAATTTTATCAAATACGGTCACAAATACTGGATAAACGAACACATACTTTTGAATTACGGACAAATCACTGAATAAACGGACAAAACATTGAAACTAATGGAGAACAACACTGGATAAACGGACACAAACACTGGATAAGCGGACACAATCACTGGATAAACGGACACAAACACTGTATAAACGGACACAAACACTGGATAAACGGACACAAACACTAGATAAACTGACACAAACACTGGATAAACGGACAAAACATTGAAACTAAGGGGAACAACACTGGATAAGCGGACACAATCACTAGATAAACGGACACAAACACTGGAACCAGAGACACAAATACTGGATAAACGGACACAAACACTAGATAAACTGACACAAACACTGGATAAACGGACAAAACATTGAAACTAAGGGGAACAACATTGGATAAACGGACACAAACACTGGATAAACAGACAAAACATTGAAACTAAGGGGGACAACACTGGATAAACGGACACAAACACTGGAACCACAAACACAAACACTGGATAAAAAGACACAAATACTGTAAACGGACACAAACAAAAAAGTCTTTGTTTGGATGTTCGATCATAACTAAGGAACCCCTTGACCAATTTAAATTGGTGAACCACAGAAATGCTTTTAGCTATGGTTTAAAAATTAATTGAGTAAGTCGACTTAAACTTTGAAAGTTTAGGTCCAAGGTATAAGGCGGATTTGACATACAACATGTTTGTCAGCGTTCTAAACTTTATGTACAAATTGGATCCAGGAAAAAATATTCACTCATTGAAACTACTGTTTCATACTCTTCACACAGGCGAGAAATAAATTTTGTTAAGATACGTTAAAAATCTAGATTATCAAGCTCAGACCAATGATTTTAAAGTCACGACAGTAATCTTCTAATAATTAATCTGTATATGATCCCATGTCTCGATTGCAGTTTACTGCAAACCCTATAAAGACTGGTGAGTCTAAATCTGCCATGCACCCCTAGACCAAGGCCTTAGAGTAAAGGGTAGTTTGCAATGCATGTTCCCAGCCTAATTTTTCAAGGCCAGCACATTATAAAACTTTAGAAGTTTTAAAAATGTTTATTATAAAATGTAAAAAATATTTTGTTTTGTTTTTGACAACTAAATAACAAACAAGGTAAGGGTCTTAATGATTTTTTTCATGTTGAACATTGAGTTGGGAGGGGGGAGGGTAGTCACTTTAAATTATTCTTTAAAGAAAAAATAGTCAAATCCTACCTCGCCCTCATAAAAGTTGGATTACTATTCTTTTTTTCCGGACATTTTCTGTAAAATATTCTATTCAAAACTAAACAAACGTGTTGTCATTTTTTATTGGATTTACTAACCTTTCGCATCAAAAAAAAAAGTACGAGTGGCTTGGAAGAAAACAACCAAAGCCCGAGCCGTTGCGACGCTTTTAAGATTGTGTATATAAGTGTAGGTTAGTTACAGACCTTTTGAAGGTCGGATGCACACATTTTAAAGGTCAAATATGGAAAGATGTGCACAGTTATTAAGTGGCCACAGCGCTCGGCCCAGAAATTGTCTTAGCCTAATCTAACACCATGCACGAATCGGCTATTACTTTATCAATTTGATAAGTGTGGCCGCAGCGCTCGGCCCCTTAGCCTGTCCTAGCCGCAGCGCTCGGCCCAGAATTTGTCTTAAACCTCCTAACCCCACAGATTGGCTATCAGTTAATGTGGCCGCAGCGCTCAGCCTCATAACCTGTCCTAGCCGCAGCGCTCAGCCCAGAAATTGTCTTAACCAACCCTAACCTCACACATCGGCTATCACTTTTGTCAATTTTATAATGTGGCCACAACACTCGGCCCCCTAGCCTGTACTAGCCGCAGCGCTCTGCCCAGATTTAACCAATCCTAACATCCGACCTACAAAATTTGTTCATCTATACCTATAAGTCTTACATCTTACCTTCAAAAAGTGTTCATACGACCTACAAAGCTGTTCATCTGACCTACAAAAGCTGTGCATCCGACCTAAAAAAGCTGTGCACTAGACCTACAAAAAATGGGCATCCGACCTACAAAAAGTGTTCATCCGACCTTCAAAAAGTGTGCATCCGACCTACAAATTTGTGTGCAAGGGCGGGATCCTTATGGTAGAATTATCGCAACTACATACTGACAAGATCTGCAGTTCCTGAGTAGTCCCGGATTAACAAAATAGAAAGTACATCCGACCTACAGCTGTCGTAGATCCGATGTTGCAGTATGTTTGAATGATCGTAGGACTTCTCAGTTACCTGGGACCCTTCATATCCCTTTCCAGTGAATCCAGTTGACAAATCCATTGTGATAGTTCGGTCAAAGTAATGTCTGAAATCTTAAATATCTTATAGCATTCTTAAAAGTCATCATAGATAATTGGATTATAATATCAAATTTGGTCATCCAACTTTTAGATTGGCAATCTTTTTATACATCGAATTTTTATTTACTTTGTTACTCTTAAAATGAAAAGGAATTAAGTCTTAGCCACAAACTCAATTCTTCTTATTCTATAACTTCCCAGCCTGGTGCAGTGGAGTAAACCTTAAATATCTTAGATTGTTAGAAATAACAGAATTCATAGTTTAAATATTCTAAGGTTAAAGACATAAGGTTGGAAAGATAAAAGGATTAGGAAATCAGATTTTGAGGCAAAGACCCAATTGTTGTTTCAGCTAAGTGTGTTTCTAATATTGTTGACCAGTGATAAGGATCCGGATCTGCAGCATTATGGGGTTTTACGCAACATCCCCCCTATTGAACCTCTGACCTACTAAATTTCCGACCTACTGCAATATCGGACCTACGCGCCAGCTGTTTATTTTTGTATTATTTGAGGGTTAGGTTAGGTTAAGACACTTTCTGGGCAAAAGCGATGCGGCTTTGGGGCCGGGTGCTGGGGCCATAAGTACATATAGCAGCTGTAAAACCACGTGCTAGTAGGTCGGATGTGTATCATAGAGAATTTGGCGTAGGTCAGGCAGGGGCGTACGAGGGCTTTTGTTTAGGGGGGGGCACAAAAAAAATTTTTGGTCCCCCCCCTTGGCAAAATTGGTCCCCCCCCTTAAAAACCCCTTTTTTGAAAAAATATTAATACCTTTTTAAAATTTTTTTTGCCCCCCCCTCTCCCACCTGGACTTATTTTCTGAGGAAGGGAAATGCAAGCAGATGTAATATTAAAAGAGCCTCCCCCATGGATGCCCCCCCTCAGCCTCTCAGGGGGGGCGCGCGTAGAGGGGGGCGGGGGGCGCGGCCCCCCCTCGTACGCCCCTGAGGTCAGGAGTGGAGTATAGTGGATTTGCGTAGGTCGAAAAATACACCACCCATTTTGGCTTCATGGATCCTGATCCTGATCAGCATAAGCATAAATATGCGGAAAAAGAGGTGAAGTATCAACCAAAATCTTTTCCTTTCCAAAATCATAATCTGAACTATTGAAAAAGAGGTGAAGTATCAACAAAAATCTTTTGCTTTCCAAAATCATAATCTGAACTATTGAACAAGAGGTGAAGTATCAACAAAAATCTTTTGCTTTCCAAAATCATAATCTGAACTATTTAAAAAGTGTGATAATCAAAAATTTCCTTATCTCTGAATGAATTATCAAGTAAAAGGATGAAAACAACGAAAAGAAGAATAAAAGTGGTTCGAAAATTCTGCTTCTGTTAAAAAATCAGTAAATCTTCATGACTTGGATCCAAAGCCTTGATGGTTGACTTACATACACAGCTGCAGCATAAACAGACAAACAAATTACACAAATATTATATTTTCTTGAGAAAAAAAATACAAATGCTAAGTACACGTGCACAGTAAACTAATTTCATAAATGTTACAGCACAGTGCAAATTCAAGGTATTGAGTAAAGAAGCACAACTAGGCAGGGATTATATAATCAAAGTCTAGCTCTTGCACTCATCTCGGGACGGAAAAAAAAGTTTCTGACAAAAAAATGACTGAAAAAAAATCTGCGAAAAAAAGGTTCTTTATGAATATTTCATAGTACGATAAAAAATACATAGAACTTCGTATTGGACGATTTAGAATATCAATATTTCATTTTGTCTTAAAGGAAAAAATATATATGCATATACACTCATTTCTTTAGTTCATAATTGTTATTAAAACAAAATAATTAATAACAGTTTGGACATATTTAAGTACACTATGTAACGAACTAAGATACAATCTGCACAGATCTAGTTACAATCAGTACTAACTCAAGTACAATCTGTACCGATTTAATTTCATTTTGTACAGATAAATTACAATCTGTACAGTTCTAACAACAATCAGTACTATCTCAAGTATCTGTACTGATTTTATTGTACAAATTTGAGTATCATTAGTAAATAATTAAGTAAAATCTGGCCCTAATTAAGTACATTTTCAACTGATGTAGGTAAAACGATTTAAATACAAACTGATCATTTCAATAACAATCTGCATTAGTTCAAGTACAAATTATACTGATTATAGTACTAATTTAGCTGTACTAATTTAGGTATACATTGAATTAATTCAAGTACAAATTGTAACTGGTTTGAGAAAAAATTGTACTGATTCGAGTACAAATGGTACTGATTTAAGTACAAATTGTACTGATTTAAGTATAAATTGTACTGCTTTGATAATAAATTGTACTAAGTGAGTATAAATTGAACTGATTTAAGTACAAATTGAACTGATTCAAGCACACTATCTGTACAGATTTGAGTACAGTCTGTTCTTTTATATTCTACCAGTGTATGCCCAATGAACTAAAGTTTCTAGTTCAAACTAACCCTAAAATTTCAAGTGTTAGTTCAAAATAACCCTGAGTATTTAATGTACAAATATCAAGACCATATTAAGATACAATCACAGATAAAAAAGATTGGAAGAGAGATCAGTAAAAGCTTTTTCTCTAGACCTATCTTTATAGTCTGTGGATACAGAATACAGATTACTGGGTTTTAACATTGTTTAATTTTCTGTTGATAAATAAAGCAAATTTATTGGAAGCTGTGCGTACTGTATACCCGATACCGAGTATATATATTTTCCACAAAATTATTATTATTATTTTTATTTTTTTCTTTTTAAAGGAATCCATGGAAGCAGCTGGCTGCTGGCTGGTTAAGCATGTTTTTTAAAATTAAAATGTGGAAAATATATACTTGGTTTAGTGTGAGGGAAAGACTGGTTTTTGAATTTATGTACGTTACATACACTCCGATGTAAACTGTACAAGGCATTTTAGTGCGTCGAAACAAAAAAAATAATTGAAAAAAATTGAGATTACATCAATATTTGATTTTCAATTAAATTTTATATTTCCTGTTTTAATTAACATCCACTAGTACTTCGTTTTTTTTTGGGNAAATAATGTCCTTCGTGTTCTTGAATCCGTACCCGCATCGAAGTAAATAATATCCCTTGCATTTTACAGAGAGAAGAATATTTTTAATAAAAATAAAGTAATTAACAAATATTTTGTTTGAAAAAAAAGTTTCTAAAATCTTAACAGTACGAACCGAATTTCCTAAGGATAACTGTCAATATCATTAATTCCGTTACAGTGAAAAAAATTTGGATTTGAAAAAAAATGAAAATTACAACTGGTCATTAAATTAAGACATATTACATTAAAGGATTGATAGATAGATAGATTGCTGGGTAGGTGGATTGGATATAATTTAGGGAAGAAATTGGAAGGCTTAGTTAATATATCTCTTTCTAACAGTGATCTCCGGCGATCTTTTTATTAGAGGCCTCCAGCTTAAAGATCTTACTACCAGGGATCTCTAGCTTCTAGATCTTTCTACCAGGGATCTCCAGCTTCTAGATCTTTCTACCAGGGATCTCTAGCGTCTAGATCTTTCTCCCAGGGATCTCCAGCTTCTAGATCTTTCTACCAGGGATCTCCAGCTTCCTCGCCTTTTCTAAATCCTTCCTGACCTTCCAAAGCATCAACTCTACGCATGCCCGGGCATCTTCATAGCTATCGTGACCCCAGGCATTACCCTGGAAATACATAAATATATATAATAAAGCCCTCCATACATTTTATACATTATATATATTATATAATACATATTTGTATATTTGTATATATGTTAGCTATAGCTTGCCAAACAGCTGGACCAATCTGGGTAGTGGGTTCCTTGGAGCTTAACAATTAAAGGCTAAAAAATTGATTTTTTTAAATCGTGTTTTTTCTTCAAAATTCCATTTTTTATTTCATAGGCAACGCCGGGCACTTCAGCTATTATGCTGATAATTCAAATTTAATATTTAGTAAAGAGGATTAAGATGAAATCAACCAACCCACTACATTATATAACCCAACAATCATATGAACTACTGTTCAGAAGGACCTGTTATTTTTAGTTCACGGACATTTAAACCAATGACAATCATAAATTATGTGATAACATTTTATTCAAATTAAACCTATATCTGTAACTGTATCTACTTTGTCCCAAATATATATTATTATAATTATTAAACCTACCAACCAACCAATCTACGACTTAACCAACCAATTCACCAACCAACCAACCTGTATATCCCGCTTGAGGTATGAACTGACGAGTGTGCGTAAAGATCTTCTGTATGGAAGACCGTAGAAGTGTGGGAATACAAGGCTTGTGTCAATTACGTTCAGATGAAGGAGGTTTAGAGCTCTCAGATCATTCTCCAGACCGTGTCCTGCAACAGTATGATCATTAAAGAGACTGAGAGCGGTGTCCTGCAGATCGTAGGATCCTTTTAGGGACTGAGGACCGTTTCCTGGAATGATCCTTTCAAGTCTGAGGACGTAATTTCAAGTAATCTTTAATTAAAACGCAAGAATATACAGTAAGTTCCCTAATTCAGCGAAAACACTGAAAGGTTTTTTTTTTTAAAGGCGGAGCTAAAACATTCATAAAAATGGGATGAACAAAATTGAAGTAAGTTTAAACTATAAAACCGTGCCAAAACGATTGACAAAGATACCGGTTATGCCTGAAAATGGGATGAACAAAATTGAAGTAAGTTTAAACTATAAAACCGTGCCAAAACGATTGACAAAGATACCGGTTATGCCTGAAAAGATAAAGGAGGATTCTCTCCAAAATAAAAATTTAAGCAAATCGTGAATTAAAAAGGAAATGGAGAACAAATATTACGTCTTCGAAATTTACATCTCCTTGTCACAGCTGATCTGACGACATTCTGTCTTCTACAGTACAGAGAGAAAGCTTGCAAAAAAGTCTCTCATCAGTCGAATCGGAACCAATCCTGACTTTGGGGTTTACTCGGGTTTAAGCTTTTAAAATCTCATCTCTGTTCTCGTTAGCTTACTGAAGTTAAGCACACTTGTCCACAGCCAGTAACTGGATTGGTGTCCAGCAAGGGTTTGATTCCCTTACTCCAGACACACCTGTGGTTTCAAAACATCTGAAGCCGAATCTGGTTAAGCAGTTATGACCACCTGACAAATTTAGGAGGACAAAGGGGCAACTGTCAACAACTCTCTCAGCGAAAGGGTGCGTGCTTTCTACTCAACAAGAAAGAATCGTTAAGTGGATTGATCCAAGTGAATGATGATGAAGAGAGGAAAGGTGGACAAGCAGGGAGAGTCTATGGTTGCCAGCTATGGGTACCTGGAGGTGTCCATTCCGAACTTACAAATGATTGGGAGCAATGAGTGTGATGTTTCCTGTCTGTAAGGTACCTGATTCCAGAATATCAGAAGAATTCCTGCACTCTACTATTCTAAGGCAGCTGGAACCTTGTCAACATGGATGAATGTGCTGCCAGATTAGAACCCCTGATAGATCAATATAAACCCATACAACACCAAACGTTGCAACAGAAATATTCCTAGATTTGATCGTAACAACCCGATCAAGTCCTGGGGACAAAAAATCTCATTTAAAAATATTTGTTATAACAAAAGTTTTGGATATAAAAATTCCAAAATATTGCAAAAATGTGGATCTAAAATCTAAGCACTAATAGAGAAAACTTCTATATCTAGTATACACTAAACATCTATTCTGGATCCTGAATATTATAATCAAGATTCCGTATATAATCGGAATCCCGAATATCATATACGGGATCCTGTATATCATAATCGTAATCCTGAATATAATAATCGGGATTCTGAATATCATATTCAGCATCCTGAATATTATTATCAGGATCCTAAATATCATAATCGGGATCCTGAATATTAAAATTGGGATCTGGAACAGCTTACCTATAAGAATACTATCGGCGTTGATGAAACCGTTCAGATCATTCTGGACTTCCTACAAAAAAAGGATCATTACCATTTTAGGGGGAAACACCGGGGGGGGGGGGGATATTAAACAGGGTTTGACACCGAATTTTGTCCTCAAAAGTGAGAATAGAGATCGACATTTGGCATACAGCTTCCAGTTTAGATTATTTACCCTGCAGCTTGATACTTTTTAAAGAACCCCGCAAGGGACCCTCCAATAATAAAAAATTTCACCTTGAGAGATTTAGTTGGTCCAACATTTAGGTCACGTTCTGATATGCCAGAGAATCTGGTATTATGATCTACTATACTGTTCTCAGGGTTCACTAAAATAATAGATTTTTCTTTCTGTTTGAGACAAAAAATTTAGATATAAACCAGTGCAGTTAAGATCCATCTAATTTTGATGCAGATCCGGATCCTGGATCCGCACTAAAAAAATTGAATCCGGGTCAATAACAAACATTTCTTTAAGATTTGCAGATTATTTGAACAAACAAAATGTTTAACGTATTTTTACTCTTATTTCGTAATTTGTATGCTAAACTTCGTGAACCATTCAGTTCTGTTTTATTTTTGGGTTTTGAGAGTTTGCAGTTTTTGGTTGATATTTTGCCACTTGGATCCGGATCCAGGAAATGTTGCGGATCCAACGGATCCGGATTTTAAGCACTGATCTAAACTTTGTTGAAAACTAATCACGCATAAAATAAATCCATGATAATTAGGGAAAACATATTTGTTTGAAAAAGTATAAATCTGGTTACCTAAGCTTTCATAAACCAATCTACCGTCTACTCCTACTATTGTCACCTTAAACACAAAAAATGCATTAAATTTTGTGAAATGAATGAGACTATAAGCGTTATTTCAAGTGACTCTCCATCCAAAGATGGCAATGCCGATTCACAACGGCACCCTTGATCGCTTCGACTGATCAAGTACGAATTAAATATCTTTCGTTTCTCTGCAACAGTGACTTGCGCATTTCTTGCTTATAAGAAGCAACGGAGAAACTCACAGAAATTAACGCATTTTGAGTAAAAACAACGGCGGTATCTTCCACTTTTTTTGATGAGATGGTTTCGAATATTCCGCTGTAAATCGGACAGTGTCAACTTTGCATGGATATTCACTTGAAAGTATACGTACAGTCCCTTTAATACAGATCCTTTATTTTCATTTACCGTGTCTTATTGTTTATTATTATTATTATATAATCAATTATTTTAGTATTTTGAGTAGGAGTATTATGAAAGCATTTCGTCAACAAATATATTCGGGCCCTGCTAACAAAGCGATCTATAAACATATTTTAGGTATATTGTAATAATAAAACTTTGCTCAGAGGTGTATACTGTATATTTTTCAGACTTAGAATTAAGAAGAAAAAAATTGTACATGAAAAGGCAAGTTTTTTTTCATTCTTTTATATATTTGATGTCCAAAAACTAATAAAAAAAGGATTTTCAAAATATGGGGGAGATGATTTATCTAGAAAAAATATATATTTTGTAATATTAAAGTGTAAAAAGGTTTAGAAAGATATTTATATATATTTTGTAATATTAAAGTGTAAAAAGGTTGAGAAAGATATCTATATATATTTTGTAATATTATAGTTTAAACAGGTTTAGAAAGATATTTATATATATTTTGTAATATTATAGTGTGAAAAGGTTGAGAAAGATATCTATATATATTTTGTAATATTAAAGTGTAAAAAGGTTGAGAAAGATATTTATATATATTTTGAAATATTAAAGTGTAAAAAGGTTGAGAAAGATATCTATATATATTTTGTAATATTAAAGTGTAAAAAGGTTGAGAAAGATATTTATATATATTTTGAAATATTAAAGTGTAAAAAGGTTGAGAAAGATATCTATATATATTTTGTAATATTAAAGTGTAAAAAGGTTGAGAAAGAAATCTATATATATTTTGTAATATTATAGTGTAAACAGGTTTAGAAAGATATTTATATATATTTTGTAATATTATAGTGTGAAAAGGTTGAGAAATATATCTATATATATTTTGTAATATTAAAGTGTAAAAAGGTTGAGAAAGAAATCTATATATATTTTGTAATATTAAAGTGTAAAAAGGTTGAGAAAGATATCTATATATATTTTGTAATATTAAAGTGTAAAAAGGTTGAGAAAGATATTTATATATATTTGTAATATTTAAGTGTAAAAAGGTGTATATTATACACTCCTGTATGGTTAATAATAAAACATTGTTTTTAGATTATTCCAACCTTGGTTAATTCTAAGCCTACACGGGTATAGCACATTTCACAGTCTACTCCGAAAACACCAAAGTTTCGTTCTTTCTGCAGAGATTTTCTATACCTCGTCTTCACATACCCATCTAGAAGTATAATTATTTTTATCTACTTTTATGAAACAAGACATGTGTATATATGTTCCCTGTAGCGGCCGAACGGCTAGACCGAATGGACTGACATTTTTGAGGGAACCCTGGGTAACATAGTGTATAAAAATCATTTCCCCACAATTTTTAAAATTTTTTTTTTTATTTCACGGGCAACGCCGGGCCCTTCAGTTATTAATCAAGATTAAATACAAATATATATATATCCGGGAATCCTCTGATGTATCTAATTTTACCAAAGGTTGCATAATGAGTTTGCTAACTCCAAATGCGCTCAGAATCCACTTATGACGTCACTGATTATAGAGACTAGAGTGACGTCATATGCAGATTCCATCAATTCTAAGGAGACGACATTTTCCGTACATAAAGTGCATCGATTGTAAGCAACCTTATTACATGACTTTGATTTTAACCCTCAAAAACTGTCACCTGTACTTGGAGACATTTTTTAATACTTTCCCTATTAGGGTGTCCAAAAAAAAATTACTCGGTATCCTTGCCTGTTCTTTAATAAGTCCCTCGAGTACAAATGAACAAAAAAAATCAGAAAATAATTCAGCTGTATAATTTAAGCCGGAAAATTGTAAAATAACTGATAGTATCATTAGAGTATTAAATCGTTTTGGGCCGTTGTTTAAAAAATTAGAAAAACTTTCAATATTTGAAAACTGAATATGTTAAAGTTTGCTTTTATTAAACTTTGCAATACCTAAAGAAAAACTGACCAAAAACAATCGTTAAAACACTTTGCATGAATCTTATGTCAAGGTGAAATTTTGGAATAATGTAAGTAAACAAATGTTTTAACGAAAAAATAGATATAACTTTCATTTCTGAAAAGTTATCTATGGGACATATTATGCCCCTAGAAATAATAAAAGTTACCTAAGGGACCTACTTTGCCCCTAGAAAGGATAAAAGTTACCTAAGGGACCTACTATGCCCCTGGAAAGGGGGAACCCTGACCAAACATGAACCTGAGCTACTGAACACCCTCGCGAACTAAAACGAAGAAAATTATTATTTCTTAAAAATTATTTCTTTTAATATCTTATCGACATGTAATTTTTCGAAATCCTTAAAAAATAATTTATGTTTTTGAATAAAAATTTTATTTTAAATGCAATATTTTTATATTATTTAAAGGGGATGGTGGAGATGGCACATTTGATGTAGGGGGGGGGG